CATGGGTTCCCACCAAAGTGATACCTATTTATCTACTTGCATTTTGAGATGCTTTTGAACTGCTAGGTGAGCAGGAGCGAGCGGTGGAAACTCATCCCATCATGCAATATCTGGGTCTTGAATTTGAGCTTGCTGATCATCAAGCCTGTCTTTTAACCATAGAGCCACCACGTCCGTTTATAGTAATAGCCATAGCACGTAGACTTATATACTGCTTCACAGTGCTTTACAGTCCCCTCTAAGTAGTTTACAGAATCAGCCTCTCACCCCAACTATCTGGGTCCTCATTTTACCCATGTCGGAAGGAGGGAAGGCTGAGTCAAGCTTGAGCCGGTGACAATCGAACTGCTGACTATGGGCAGAATTAGCCTGCAATGCTGCATTCCAACCACTGTGACCCAATGGCCCTTCCTTCCTTCCTTCCTCCCTCCCTTCCTTTCTCCCTCTCTCCCTCTCCACCTTACAATAGCACTTAGCCTTATGTATCACAGTGCTTTCCAGCCCTCTCCAAGCGGTTTACAGAGTCAGCCTCTTCCCCCCAACAATCTGGGTCCTCGTTTTAACCACCTTGGAAGGACGGAAGGCTGAGTAAACCTTGAGCCCGGTGAGATTCGAACTGCCAAATTGCACCCAATCGGGGATCTCCTCTCATCCCTGCATGGGTTCCCACCCAAGTGAAGCCTATTTATCTACTTGCATTTTGATAGGCTTTGGAACTGGTAGGTGAGCAGGAGCGAGTGGCGGGAACTCACCCCATCACGTAGTATCTGGGTCTTGATTTCGAGCTCGCTGATCATCAAGCCTGTCTTCTAACCATAGAGCCACCATGCCAATTGCAGGCGGCTGGCAGACAGCAGAAGTAGCCTGAAGTACTCCACTCTAACCACGGGCCCACCATGGAGTGGTAGGAACTACCTTAGTCCTAACGTTCATTGGTTGCAGGAAAAGATCTATAGAACATTATAGATTTCACCTGCTAGTTTCCTGTGTTTTTTTTCCTTCTGGAAACTGGAGGCTCCATGTTTGTAAAATGGCAAATGAGGGAAATGATGAAATTGAGCCGGGAAGGGAAGCCTGCAACTTCCGTATTTTTAAGTATAAGATGCCCTTTCCCGAATGGGCAGTGGCGAATGGGCCACAGCGAACAGGCCGCGGCAAACAGGCAAACGGGCCGTGACAGCGGCCAATGCGCACGGGTGAATTTGGGATGTGGTGAACAGGCCATGGCGGCGGCAAATGGGTGGCGGTGAATCGTCTACGGCAAAAGGGCCAGTTGAATACCGGATGTACGCTGGGAAGCAGAAGGAGATTTTTTTTCTCTCCTTCTTATCCTCCCCCCAAAGCTAGCTGTGTCTTATACTACGAAAAACATTTCGCTTCTCCTCCTAGGAGCTTCTTCAGCTTCTCCAGCTTCTTGGAGGAGAAGAGAAAGATCTTCAAAGAGAAACCAGAAAGTCCAGTTGCCTCCTGAAAAAGCACCTTGGCGATAACCGAGACCTGGAGGACGGAGGATCTCCATATTTAACCACAAGAGGGAGTAAAAAAAGACCAGAATATTTGCTTGTAAGCCGTTCACTTAATAGAATAAACTTGTAGTGGTGCTATCTGAACACAAGAGGAAGACGATGACCAAAACATTGCTTGTAAGATACGAATTTAGCAGAATAAACCTCACCATTCATAGTTCCCCGATACTTAGAAGAAAACAGGAAAAGGGGATCTGAACCCCTAGAAAGTATTTTGGAGGAGTAATCAAATAAAACTCTTCCAAGTGATTTAAGGAACGAAGCAAAAACTAAAGAAAAAACAATGTAGGCTCTTAAAGGATCTTCATTAGGAGATTCATCAACTTAATGGAGAAGTCAAACAGACACAGTAAATGGTAGAGTAGATTTTTTTGCAGTATAAAATAAAGAAAGATTTTAGTATGAAGCTGACCTGGATAATAGGGCCCTCTTAGAACTATAAAACAAGGAACTCCAAACATGGTACCAAACTCTCCCTGAGATGTCTGGAGAAGATAAGATAACTTTTTGGGCCCCTTTTTTTTTTCTGTGAGCAAACTGGCACACATTAACAATGAAATTCTGTTATCTGCTCTCAAGAGTGCACTTATGCATAATGCACACATACACATGCTATATACGTACATAATTATATACCTTCACCATATATGTGTGTGTGTGTGTGTGTGTGTGTGTGTGTGTGTGTGTGTGTGT